AGAGAAGCTAGCAACAGAAGAAAGAGAACCATTTGATGGAAGAAAAGAAAAAGAAAAAACAAGAAGAAAAGACCAAGAAGGACATCGCTCAGAAAAAGGTGACATGTTCACACCGTGGGCTGTAGATCAAAATGGGTATGGGGTCCATTATGCAAAAATGAAGTGAGTAGTTTGTGAATATGGTGGCTGCCATCTTGGCATTTTACAACCACATTCTGCACAGTTGAGACACATCAGACCACCAGTCAAAGCTGTTCAGTCATCCGAAACATATCGTTTTTTTTTTTATATCATCAACTAACTTATTAAAAACAAACATACCATCAACTCACACTGGCTCCAGTTGTGGGAGCTGTTACATTCATGTTTTACACAGTCAATGTTTCAAACGCACACACAGCACATTCCCTAACCCGAACAATCACAACTAAGTGTCTAACCCCAAACACGAACCTAGACATTCTGATCTGAGTGTCTTATGGCACTGAAAAGAAAATTGGGCACACACACACACACAAACAAACAAACACACACACACACACACACACACACACACACACAGACACTTAATAAAGCTGCAGATGTTTTAGGTCAACTAGCCGGTGCTTAAATTTGGGCTGTATGTGTGTGGGTATACAATTGCTTCTTTTTTTAAAAGTTTGTGTTCTTTACTCACTTAGTCTTCAACTTTCTAATCGTTGGGTTTTAATATAAAAATAGTTTTGGCAGATTTGTTAGAATGTGGGCAGCAAGCTGCCAGTAAACAAATAAACTGACTTCTGTTCAATGCTGGCTGCCATTCATTAAAAAAAATAAATAAATAAGAATGAATGCCTTGAAAAGACAGAATCTCTTTACTAGGCAGCACTCCTGCCACTTCTGATTTTTTATTTTTTTACAGTTGTGATTGATTGTTAAACATCATCCTTTATGTATTAGGTTCCTAAGTCTGTCTTTCTGTCCCCTCTCTGCAGGCTATTGATCAGAAACCCAAAGGTGAGTGTCATGATCAGCTAAACTTCACCCTCTCACCTGCCTCATTTTCTAAAACCTTGTTCCAGCCACTGATATACATGAATTACCTCTGATTAACACACTGACCCATAAAGACACAGACGTACACATATTATTCAAGCGTTATATATACACACACACACACAGCGCTTAGTGTTCTTGTACACAGATTGACACGCAGTTTGCACACGGATGAACAATTGTTTCTCAGGAACGCACACATGTGCACACACACACACAGCAGAGCAAATACAGTGGAGTATAATGCAAAGTGGAGCGGAGTGACGCTTAGTACGCCCACGGCACCAGGCAGTGAAGCATGAGGGCACCCAGACAGCACACTGGGTGTGATGTGCGTAGGGGGATGGGGTCAAGAAAGAAGGGAGAGGAGTGGGATAAAGGAAGAGCATGGAGTTCAGCTCAAGTACAGAGAAAGTGGCGGTGAAAAACCACTGTCCTGAAGTACCACTGATGCTCCCTCTCTCTTAAGAAACTAAAATATAAAATTTTGGAAAATTTGATGTTATTATATTGAAGTGTTAACAAAATACCCAGTGGTTCCTCTGCTGCCACTCCAATTCACACCAATTTATCTCTGCTTTTAAATAAGGAAAACATTGCGCTTCAACTCTGACCTTTCTTAATGGTAAAAAATAAATGATGTAATTATGAATTAAAATGAATGAATGATTATGTGAGTGAGTGACTGAGTTAGGTCGTGTTCTCCATCGTTGGCTCTTTCTTCTTTGTTCTGTGTTGTCTACTCTTAGACCTGACTTTTCACACATCTCAGCCAATGTTAATTATCTTCCTACTATGTTGGCTTTTCACTTAGCACTACTCTTGAAGGATTCATGCATTTACAGGCATTTACTTTATGCAGTAAAAGCAAACTTCTTGGCATTAGTCTTGTTTTTGTTACATGATCAGGTTTAGGTGAAAATGGCACAAACTTTGACCATGGTCACTGGCTTTAAATCTTCCTGGTGGGTGTGTTGGCGCCCCTGACTCTTCTCCCTGAGTTTGAGCAACAGCTTGGCCATCTGGGTTTAGCTGTTGGGCCTTAACAAGGGTCACCACAGCTTTCTTTGAACTCTGACCTGCCTGTTTAATTACCCATGCTGGGTTTCACTGCCCTGTCTGTGAGCTTGACCTACTGACCAGCATTCAAAGCCTCTGCAGAAAGCTGCTTCTGATTTGAATAAACATTTAATGCTCCTGTTTTTGAACTTGGGTGATAGAAAATAGTTTTCTCAGAGGCTTTGTTAGACTTAAGTGTATAAAACGTGCAGAACTATAATGCGTGTAGACAAAGAGTGCTTAAGCAACATAACATCATGAGAAAAGAAATGACTTTGGCAACGTACGGTGATGTTTTTTTGTTTTTGATCCGTTATTTATACAGAACAGATTTGCTGAGATCGGATGCTCTTTTGTCTTGGAACTCACATAGTTTACACTCTGTAACTATAGTCTTGTCTCTCAGCTACTGAACAACTTTACTTGAGCTGTTGTGGTTTATGTGCCTTGCTCAACACTATGTTGGTGGTGATAATGAGGCAAAGGTGAGTGCTGTTTTTAATTTGTCTACCTAGACTGTTGGCTGACAAATGAATGATGAGGTTTTTTGTTGGGAGGAGAGAATTAGCATGATGGACTTAACCCACAGTTAGTGTAGGTTAGTGGGTGATGTCTGGTGGTGGTAATCAACATGACCCAAAGGATTATGTGGGCAACAGTAAATGTCAGACATTAAGACCTGTGTATGCAGTACTGCATTGCTTTCTCTGTGTCCCATTCATATATTTAAACATTCACCTCTAAGCACAGTGCAGCCAGAGTATTAGGACGTTGACACCGTTTTGTTGTTGTGTCTCTGCACAGCAACATGTTGGCTTTGAAATGAAATGGTTACAGATTGTAAGCACTGTTCTTCAGCTGTAATTTAGGAGTCAGAGTTGGAGCCATTTTTAAACATACTTGTCCAGTTTTCATGCACTGAAGGTCATTGGACAGTTTACTGTATATACATTATCAGACACTTGGTATTTTTCATGTGCTCCAGACATCTTCACTGCATTGCTTGTTCCTCTGGCCTGTTCTTTAGACTGATATCAGGTGACTAGTCAAGAATGTTCCTATGTTTGGCTGTAGAAAACATCATTGGTTGCCCTGTCTGTTTAAGATTTCTGTTTTTGTACATTGTATAGTCTTGGCACTGTATGTATAATGCATATTCTATTTAAAATCCAGCCAGTCAGATTATAGCCACACTACTGAGAAGAGCATCATAGCCCTAATGCCTTCTATGTATGTGGACTGTACCAAGATTTACTGGAAGGACTAGCAAAGGAAATACTGAGAGTCAGGGAGGGGATATTGAAAACTGCCTGAGAGAGAGGCCCACGAGCAGGGGCACAGTAAAGAAGGAGAAGGAAGGAAAGGAGAGGAAGTAAGAGAATGTGTAACCGGGTGTTCTGGGGCCAGATACAAGTAAAAATGTTAGAAGGAAAGGGAGGAAAGAAAGTAATGAAGCAGTGAACACTTTAGACGAGTGCCAAAAATGACCATCAGGAGTCAATGACGGTGCTAATATAGAAGAGGTCTAATGGCGTGACATGGTCTAATGACATTTATTTTATGGTATGTTTAATGAGAGTGAAAGTGGGAAAAGGACATGGAATGAGAAAGTGATTGTGTGTATGTAGTGGGTACTCATGCATACAGAAAGATAAAGAAAGTAGGGCCTGTTTGAAGACTAATCGTTGAGCGAGCCACGAGGACCGCCGACTTTTCTCATAACCTCCACTCTCAATAGTCTTTTTAAAAGGAAAGTGCTATCAACTGGAATGAGTTACGTTTTCATGTGTGACACTAAATAATAGAGGTGTTTTATATACGTACGCAGGAAGGGAGAAAATCAGTATGCGGTGGTGATTTGTGTCTTTTCATTCATATCAGTGAATTCTGCTTCTCTTATACACTCAAAAATTGATACACACGTAAACATGTGATATCACATCTTGGTCTTTTTCTGCTTTACACTAAGCAGGCCTCCTTGGTCCCAGGCATTTCAATTTGTTTGCGGTAATCGATTTCAGCCTGGCGCATTCATATGTATGAAAATGAGATAAAGCTTTGGAGTGGAGCTTCACAAATGCAGTGTCCCACTGCCCCAACCCACCCTCCCCAACAGACATAGGCTGGACCTCTGATGGAGGGCAATTCCCTAACTCCGCCCTTTCATCCCCCTCCTCCCCATTACCTCAGAGGGATGCTGATTATTCACCCCCAGCACAGCTTCATCACAGTCTCTGCCCCCACTACAGTCGCAATCAGTCAGCTTGACTGCTACACATACCTACTAACCTTGACAAAAACATGCACATGCCAAGACACATGCATGCAAAGAGCAGTTCATAAAAATTTTACATATCCATCAAGCTGAAAATGTGTATTCCTACATGCCCACAGTCATATTAAAAGACATACACACTCCTACCTACAGCAAATGCTTAGGTTGTTGAATTGCAAAACATCCAGGGTAATAATATACTAGCCATGGCATCTCTTAGCATACACATATAAACCAACATACACACAAATATTATTGGAGTTATGAGAACATGCAGCCAAAGCAGGAAGTTAGACAAATGCAATTCATGAAACAGGTGGCTACATGCAGGCACCGAAAGCCACAGTAATAACACAGTGTATCATTCCCACACGTGATAATCAGAAAACCTGCAATCTCCATTTTTACTTCTCATGCACCTTTCAGCACTGAAAGGTTAGAGAACAAATGTAATATATGTTATTGCCTCGTCCGTCTCTTTCCTCCTTATCCGTGCTTCCCCCCCGCCTGTTTCATTGCAACCGCATCTGAGGAGAAACATATTTACATGGTGTCACCACGGTGATAACAGCATTATATTTTCCAAAGTGGCGAGAGACGCACACTAACACGAGTGCGTTATATAATTCTGCGTTGGATTAATTTGCAATTTCACATGCTATTAATTGCATCAACACTTGTGAAAGGGAATTTCATGAATCGCAATTTAATTAGAGGCTAATTTACTTGAGCAAATGGGCTGCTTTTCTCTTCTGTTAACCACATTTATAAACACTCAATGAATTAATAGCGAGTAGCTTGTCAATTATGTCCTGTGGATTTGTGACTGCCAAGCATAATTGTTTTTCCGCTACCCTCTGTTGTGTTCTCTTTGCATTTATGTCAAGTCCTGGAGGAGAGTGAGGGATAGGTTTTGGGACCAGGGGCAGAGAAAAAGGAAGCAAGAGGGGCACACGTACTTAAACAATGCTTTCTTCTCTGTCTACTCATGTTGTATGATTGCTCACAAGCTGCTGACAGGAGAGCCCCTTCAGTGCCTCTTGCCCCTCCCCCATCATCTCCTCCTCCCCCAGTAGTGAGCTGCTTTATGCCAGATATCAGGCAGATTAATAGGATGGAGCTCAAATCATATGAATGACAGTTCAGCCTGTGGTTTGTGGGTATGGTGTCTGCATATACTGTGTGTGTGTGTGTGTGTGTGTGTGTGTGTGTGTGTGTTTGTGTTTGTAAGGGTCACATACTGCCTGTGTAAGGTGCTTTTGTCATTTGTTCCTTGGGTCATTGTCAGATGACAGTTAGGCTACAGAGAAGAAAAAATAAATTGTCCAGTTATTATTCTACCAGTTGAATTTTACTTCATGAGATTACTTTTATTAGTTGGATATCATGGAAGGTAATAAGGCCAAAAGGTGTTCACGTTGTAGTGGAAAAACAAGGGTCTCGCACGACATGTTCCCTACTGGTCGGTGTAGAAATTCCCGGGGGTGCTCTACACAACTGTGTTTTCTTAGCTACACTGCTAATGTTGCTAGCGCAGCACACAACATGCACAGCAATGGTGAGGCATGCGCAAAAGCCGTTTTTCTGCAATAATGTAAGCACGCCATTAGAGTATTAGTTGCCCTTC